GTATTTTCAGTGTCAGCCAAAAATTCCTATGCTACTTACAGAATTTCTCAGGCTACACTGCACCTCTCTTGCTCAAAAGCCTATGCAAATGAAGCATGGATTAGCATATTGCTGCACTCCATTTGCATAATTAATTAGGGGCCTTTTTTTGCTCAAGAGGTTTTTGTGCAAAAAGGAGCTGTGTGGACTGCTCCTTTTTGCGCAAAACCCCTCTCTTGCACAAGAGCCATTCTTCCCGAAAAAATGAGGGGCATTATTCATTTAAAAGAACGGTCTGACTAAAAACACAGACTGGCAACACAAAGACAGAAATACCATCAGTGTGAGAGCAGCATTGCCCTGAAGCCTGTGAGAAATTTGCAGGTGACTTCATGAGCAGATTTCCCAAGCTGGTACGCTCTCTGGCACAAGTGACTCATGGTAACACCTAGGAGGTGCACTGCCCCTCTATGCCCCTGCTAAAATTTTAATTGCAAAATAGGGTGCCCCCAGATGCTACCTCCCCATTTGGTTGTAACACCTCTCCCTACAAGCACCAGTCATCCCTGCTCTCTGGGCTGATCTTACACTTGTTGAAGTCATTGGAAAGGCTCTCACTCATCTTAAACATCTTTGGCTCAAAACCACAGGCAGCAGGATAGCAGGGCCTTCTCTTGCATGTGCATTTAGATCGCTCCTTATCTGTAAAGGTCATTGTGACTCAGGCCAGTAGATGACTGTCTTTGCCGTGAGGGACCTTGCTCTATGGAACTTGCTCCTCCCAGCACCCACCATAGATCACTCCTCCCCACATCTGCTGTTCGTGCTGTCACATTCTGTGCGGCAGGAGTAGCTCCTCCGAAAGCCATGGCACAAAAGGGCCAGATCCTTGGCTGCTGTCAATCAGCATAGCATTGTTGACGTTTACGAAGCTATTCTGATTGACTAAGGTTCTGCATCTGGCATAAATGAGGAGTACATAACTCTGCTGAAATCTATGGCATTAAGACAGCACAAATCAGGACTGAGGCCATGGAGTTATGCTAGTGTAGAATTGGTATAAGTGAAAAAAGATCAGGACCCTTTATTTCCAAAGCATTTTTACTAAGACTGCTTTGAGTCCCATATGACTTCAGCCCATCTCCTGCATCCTCTTCTTATGCTGGGCCCTTGTCCTCTCTCCTCACATGCACTTTTTGTTCTCCTCATTTAAACTTTGCAGTGGGGTTTTTACTACAAAGGGTTTCTTGCATTGTGGTAGGCTCTGCACTAACAATTATGTTATTATTAGATTTAAATAATGACAATTGCTCTCAGCCTTATCAGTCTTCCACACCCTTCATCCCCTCTTTCCTTTATGTGAGAGCTTGTTCTGATCATCTCCTACAGTCCCTGTTATATTTGATTTTATTACAAGATATAAATTTCTTTCCGCAGCCCTGGCACACAGCGTATAGAGAGGAATTGCCTAGCAACCAGAAGAACAAAAAATTAAGAGAATCAATAAGCCTCGATGGAAAGCTAAACAGGGACTTTAAAACAAAATCTTTTTTGTTGTTGTTTCTCCTCTGGTAATGACTTGCAATATCTCAGCTGCAGCATGAAGAGTTCATTGTGTGCAATGGATGCTTTTGGGGGCAAGAATGGCCAAGGGATTGGTCTACATCAAAATAAAAGAATGGATGAAAACCCGGCAACTGGATGTGGATTTGCATAATGCCTTCAGCCTGTAAACACACATATGAGTAATCTGAGTATTGACTTTAATGGAACTATTCACAGATGTGAGTATTTGCAGGGATGGGGCTAAGAATCTGTCTCAGGACAGTTCTGTTGTCATTTATGCTTGCATAAATCCAGATTAACTCCACTGAAGACAGTGGGTTTATTCCAGATTTATACCAGCATAACTAGGAAAAAAAGGTTCAGGGGGGTAGCTAAGTTAGTCTGTAACTAGAAAAAAGTTTAAAAACCGACACAAAGGCTCAGTGTTAAGGGGGTGACAGACTGACCTACAAGCAGGAAGCCTGATTCTGTAGATAATCCTACTATTGATTTTATCTGCACTACTTAACAGGAATGAGAGCTGCAAGATTGGATTTTTGGTTAGCATGATAGCTGTTTTTTTTCAAAACTAGATGGAAAAAGCAAGTTGTAATACAGAGGGTTGGCTCATGATGTCAATTTTCAGACATTAATGCAGTTAAACTTATCAGTCAAAATGGCAAGAAATTAAAGAAAATATTTTCCAAATTAAAGAGGAGTCCCATTGAAATCAAAGGTGCTACTTACAGGAGTGAAGTTTTAAACATGTGATTAAGTGATTGAAGCATCATGGTCATAATTTGGATTTAGTGGTGATTTTCTATTGGGTTATTTGAGTCCTGATTCTGAAAACATACTTGTTTACAAACATACATGCTTTACTTTAGGTGGAAGTCAAGTCAATAGGACTCCTCATCATAAAGTCAAACAGATAAGTAAGCTTTTCCAGGGTGAAAGCTTTGATTTTTTTATTTTTTTAGGGGATGGAGTATGAACAAATGGATCCACATCACAAAACCAAAAAGGGTTCCATAACCAAACTGAAATGCTAGGAATAAAAAATTACTTTGGCACAGTCATTTCTAGGCTATATATGATCTAGGAGCAACTGATTAACAGTTGAAAAGGAAGGATGAGCCAGTATTTAGCATGTTCACATAAGAAGTGGGAGACCTGGGTTTCTCCACAGCTGTGATGGGCAACCTAGGCTTGTCATAACCAAAACAGTCTCCCAGGATAGGGTAGTTTTGCTAACTGTGCTTGTGTACCTAGAATTTGCAGGGTGTGTGGATTGAACTGTAGCAACACTTTGATTGGATGCAGAGGGAACATATACTGTACCTCTTACAATCAGTGTTGTGTGTGATCAGTATGCACCTCACTTCACATGCCCTTGCTTTTCACATGTATGTCACTTTAGTAATACTGATAGGAAAAAAACTATGCAGACAGAAACTAGTGGAATTTGGAAACCCTGCACATGGGCTACACATAGAACCCTGATGGACCACATGTGGGCCTTGGGCCACAGATTGCCCATCACTATTCCACAGGCTTCCTAAGTGACCTTTGGTAAATCATTTAGGCCAGTGGTCTCCAACCTTTTTAAGCATGAGATCACTTATTGAATTTACGTGCAATCCAGGATCTACCTCAAACCCAAACACCCTTGACCAACCTCCATCCTGCCCCTGCTCACTCCATCCTCCCTCTCCCATCCTCACTCTATCAGGCTGGGGGCAGGAGTTTGGGGGGCAGGAGGAGTTCAGGACTGGGGCCAGGGTTCAGAATGCAGGCTCCAGCTGGGCACCACTTACCACAGGTGGCTTCAGGGTGGTAGTGCAGGGGACCAAGGCAGGCTCATCCCCACCTTGTCCCTGCACCACTCCCAAAAGCAGCCAGCAAACTCTTATAGAATCATAGGGCTGGAAGAGACCTCAGGAGGTCATTGAGTCCAGCCCCCTGCCCAAAGCAGGACCAATCCCAACTAAATCATCCCAGCCAGGGCTTTGTCAAGCTGAGACTTAAAAACCTCTAGTGATGGAGATTCCACCAAACTCTCCATCTCTGCCTCCCCTCTGCTCTGTGGAGATGAGGTACAGGGTGGAGGGAGGGGCACCCTGACATCAGCACTCCCCCTTCCTCTTCTTCCTGTGCCCTGCACAGCAAACAGAAGGTTCCCAGGGGTGAGGGGCACCTCCAAGGCAGAGGGCAGGAGCAGCAGGGCACTGAGGGGCAGATGAAGTGCCAGCACTTGATAGGCTTTGGGCCAAACCTCTCAGGATCACCTGTCAAAGGTTCCAAGATCTACCAGTAGACCCTGATCTACTGGTTGGTGACCGCTGACTTAGACCTTTTTCTCCACAAGTATGTGTACACTACAGAGAGCAACTTTAGCTACATTAATTGCATAGCTGAAGTGGAAGCAGCTTAACTAGGTTTTTGGTGCTGTCTACACTGCAGGAAGTAGAAGAGAGAACACTTTTCCTTTGACTTCCCTTATTCCTTGTGAAAGCAGGGTTATGGCATCAACCTGGAATGCCCCTCTTGCTTCAAATTAGCTGTGTTAACTAGACCACTAATTGGAACCCTGTAAGATCGACAGGCAGCTTCGATCTTCCTCTGTATGGCTGTGTCCAGACTCAGGGTTTTTTTCGAAAAAAGTAGCCTTTTTTCGAAAAAACTTCACCTGCGTCTAGACTGCAGCCGCGTTCTTTCGAAATTAAATCGAAAGAACGCGGCTTTTGTTTCGACGGCGGTAAACCAAATTCCACGATGAAGAACGCCTTTTTTCGAAAGTGCTCTTTCGAAAAAAGGCGTTCTTGAAAGCAAACAGGGCTTTTTAGAAAGAAAGCATCCAGACTCGCTGCTTTCTTTCGAAAAAGCAGCTTGCTTTTTCGAAAGTTCCGCGTGCTGTCTAGATGCTCTCTTTCGAAAGAGGCTTGCAGTCTAAACATAGCCTATGACAGATGTACCCCACCAGTACAGGCGGGATTATAACTTTTCTCTACCTCACAAGGGCGTTGTGGGGTAAATAGGTAAAGATTGGCAGGTGCTGGGATGTTGAGAACCAGGTAAGCACCTTGGCTAGATTGGCAAAGTGCTTTGAGACCTGTGCAGGGAAAGCGCCATTGCATTTTTTTTAAGGCTGATTTGTGTTTAAGGGGCTTAAGCCTCAGTCAGCAGAGGTCTCCGTGAAGCGGGCTACTCTTCTCCGCAGGCTCGGGGGCAAAAGGTGGGAGCAAGGTGACAGAGTGTCTCGTTGAGTGTTCCCCGCCCCTCCGCGCCACTCGCGCAGCCAGGGGGCTCCGTGGTGCTCGCCTGCAGGAGGGCGGGCTCGCCACTGGAGGTCGCGGGCGGACAAGGCTGGCCGGGAGTGGGCCACGCTCGGGCTCCGGTGCAAGGCAGAACCTTCCCCGCTGCCGCGGGAGGAATGCGGAACCAGCCCCGCGCAATCAGCTGCGGCGGCGGCCATTGAGGGGGAGGCGGGAGAAGGAGCCCTAAGCGCCCGGCGGCTGCCCAGGGGTCCTACTTACCCAGCGGAGCCGGGGCCAGATGAAGCAGCCCCCGGCGGCGAGGTAGCCTCTCCAGCGCCCCCAGCCCCATGAAGCGCATCTAGCGGAGGAGGAGAAGAGAAGCCAGAGCCGAGCCCGTCTCACTCGCACCGGCCCCATGGCGAAGGAGAAGCCCAAGAAGGCTTTGCAGGAGCTGCTCCAGAGACCGGGCAACCAGCTGTGCGCGGACTGCTCTGCCCCCGGTAAGGGCTGGGGCTCGGAGCCGGGGGGTCGCAGCGCTGCAGGACTGGAGCCAGCGCCGGAGTGAGCGGGGCAGGGACGGAGCATGCAGCCGGGCACCGGAATCCCTGGGCAGGCGCCGCCCTGGGGTCCAGTGCGGCACCTGCTCCTTTCCGCTAGCTGCCCGGGCAGGGTGGAGTCCGGTCCAAGTTTGCCTCGGCCAGGAGAGCCCCGCTTGCTGGGCGCTTGGCTGCGGCGAGCTCTGCCCCAGCCTGCAAGCCCTAGCCGGGCTGTTGCAAAACTGCGGGCTCTGGAGAAAGAGGAAACCGGCCGCGTGGGCACGGGGGTTCCCAGCCCCGGGGCAGGAGGAAGGTCTCCCCGGTGCTCAGCGCGGGGGTACCCCCGGCGGCACTTCCAAGGAGCGGGGCGATTCAAGCGTGGCCGCAGGCGAGGGGCGTGTCCCCGATCCGGCAGCTGGCCGGCCGCGCCGTGCTCGGGGGCCAGGAAAGAGAGGGTGCCCCGCTCCTTCGCACGGGGGTACCTCGCTGCCCCAGCGCTCTAGGGCTGACTAGGGAATGCTGATGTCATCCCCGGCCGCTCCAGCCGGGCTGTGTGCGCGAGCTGCAGTGCAGAGCGAGCCCTGCGCCCAGATGACAATGACACCTTGTTAATTCGCAAGGGTGGGCAGGCGGGGCGGAGGACAGGTGGCAGGGGCGAGGTCTGCAGGCCTAGGGCCGGGCGAGCTGGCCCCTGTCGGCCTGGCTGCTCTGCCTGCCCCTCCCTGCTCCTGTCCTTGTGCTCGCCCTGCAAACTGTGTGTGGCTTTTGTCGCCACCCCTGCTTGGCAGCCAAGGTTCCCTTCTCGGTAAATCAACAGACCTGGCGCACCCGGCGCCTTGCTGTGCCACTTCCTGCCAGCCAACCTTTGGCCACCGGCAGGCCTTTGCTGGAGACTTTGCCCCTGTCTTCCTGAGGCATAACTACCGATAATGAAATAATCAGTGGTGCTCCTTGCTGGGTGGTTGGGGTGGCGGGAGTTTCTGAGCCAGACACACACCCTTCCTTGTCCTTTGAATAGAGAAGTCACTGGGGACTGAATGCCCACTGAGAGCAGGGAAGCTCAGGTCTGTGTCTGTAAGTGTCTGCTCAGATCCCTCCGGGGAAAGCCCTGTACAGTTTAATAGAAAATAACCTTCCCGGGAGGGAGAGAGAGCAAATAATATCCCTCTTGCAGTATTTGGTAGGTTGGCTTTAAAATATCAAACCTGCAGAAGGGCCATCTTAAGAATTACATTCTATAGGTTTTAGGACTTCTACAGAATATTATTACCTTTCTATGGCACTTTGATGTCAATAGGACTCTACCAGCTGGGAAGGATCATTAGTTGAGGGTTTGTGTCCCTAATCTATATTGAAGATAAACTGGGATCTGCCAAGGATATTTTCAGTCACCTTGTACCTGGTTAGTGATGCCTAAGAATGCACTACTATCCAGTGTGCGTTGCTTTTCTGGCTGGTCGAACTCCACCTAGTTACTGCCATCTCTTACTATATAATCTTATTAACCCACCTTTTCAGTACTTGGCTGCACACAGCTTGGATCTGACTGCAGTTGGAATCTTCCTAAACTGTTTTTTCCCCCCAGAAGGAGCATTTACAGTCCAGGGCTGTTCAGATCAATAGAACACCTCTTACAGCATGTGTAATACGAAGCCCACCCAATAAAACAGGGAGCACCTACCCGGCATCAGCATGATTAAAATGAAACTTTGGCTCAGCAAAATCGTTTGTGTTGTGGTTAGATTGTTAAGGACTCCAAATGCAGGTTTTAAAGCTAGGAAGCCAAGGTCTGCAGTTGATCACATCTGGGTATAGAGATGTGTTCGGTGGGCCTGCGCCTTGTAAGCGAGCAAAATTTGGGTCAGTGTCTTGTGATGCAAGAGAAACTATTACTGTAGTTCATCTCCTTTTCTGCATGGTCTAACTGCTCTGTTTTCTCCTGCATTGTTCCCCAGTGCTAAAGCTCCATTTCTTTCTTGACCATTCTGCTCCAATTTTTTAACCAATTATGCCCAGCTCTAGACTAGATATGCACAGTAACTGCATTGTAGTATATGCCGCTGACTGCAGTTCAGTAACTGCAAACCAGTATGCCTGTGCATGCTATGGGTTACTTAGGACAATTAAAGACAAGACACAGTCACACAGTGTGCATATGTGTTACATATAAAATCAGTGGACTAAATCTGGTTATTTGCTTTGGTGTAGGGGAGAGTAGGATTAAGTTTTCCAATCTAGGGCAAGGCAAAGAGCAGCTACGTGACCCTTGACTTTCACTGCCCTATGCTACATCCGGTTAAATAGCAATTGGTGTATTTCCCAGTAGCTCCAGTCATGAGAGTTTCTCCTCTTTACAGGCTGCAGGGACACGCATGTCAGCCCAACCTTCCCTTCTCATCCTGTGTCCCACTTAGTTCAGGAATGAAGCTACATGCAGACCAGAGGTTTTCCACCTGTGGTCCTGACCCATGTCTTAAGATTTCCAAAGGGGGCTGCATCTCAATTTAAAATGTAGAGGTCTGCAAATGAAAAAACAGGCTGAAAACTACTGGCCTAGTCCTAGGGAGTCTTCAGTGGAGAATTACTTTCCTTTTATCCTTTGGTATATATGGTTGTGACTATTTTCTTCCTCTATTTGATCTGAGGAAGTGGGTCTGGCCCACGAAAGCTCATCATCTAATAAACCATCTTGTTAGTCTTTAAAGTGCTACATAGTCCTGTATTTTACTTTCCTTTTAGTGAGAGAGGTGGGGGAGAGAGAACACAACAACAAAACAGAAATAGGGAAGGAAAAAAAGAAAGAAGACAGGATGAGAATGGGAGAAAAGAGGTGAGAAAACAAACAAGACTGGAAGACTGGTGCCAATTGGCAGATGGTGCATGGGGACAGAGACACTAGGCATCCCTCTGCCAGTCCAGTGCAATCGGGGATTTGGAGAAACTGAAGGCTGGTGTTCTGCAGTATGGAGTGTATGTTTCTCTCACTAAAATACAAGGGATAATTCATGAGCCAATGAGAATCAGCAACAAGATGCAGTTATTTAGCTAAGGGATTCTTACAATGGGGTAAATAATAGAGCTGTTTGGAAAAACAAAACAAAATAGCTACTGTTTTCAAATGATTTTCATTCCATTTGTGCAGAAAGTGGCTGACTCTTCACTTTCTGAAATTTTCCTCAGAATCTTTTTTTTAAAGAAATTGGTGATTTTTTGAATGTTACATTTTTGCCATTTTGTGAAAAACTCTCCCTTATCGTTGATTTTGTGTTGCAGTAGCGTCCCAGAACCCTCCTGGTGCTAGGTGCTTTACAAACGCTGAACAAAGAGATGCCTCCTGCCGAAGAGTTTGCAATCTAACCTCTCCTCCTGACTAAGTTGTACAACTTGAGGCTATATCTACACTGCAGGCTTCTTGTGCAAGAAGCTTTTCGGAAAAGCAATGCGCTTTTGCGCAAGAGAGTGTCCAGACTGCATGGAAACTCTCTCGCAAGAAAGCTCTGATTGTCATTAACAGAATGGCCACCAGGGCACCTGTGCTTGTTTTGATAGGCTGTTTTTGAGCAAAACCCCCCTGCTGCCCATCCCCCCCACCTTTTCGCGCAAAAACTCTTGCGCAAAAAGGACTTATTCCTCGTAGAAAGAGGAATACCTATACCACAAAACCACTCTTTTCTGTCAATTCTCTGTAAATTTTCTTGTGCAAAAATGCGCTTGAGGTGTGAACACTCTGTGAGTTTTTGTGCAAAAACTTTGTAGTGTAAACGTAACCTAACAGTGCAGTGAAAAAATCAGCCCACAGAATAGTACATGAGCAAACAAAACTAATTTGAAATAAGTACCTTTCTTCCCAGGCTGCACTTCCCATTTCTCCCCTTATCCCTGCCCCTCCAGCCGCTTTCTCTGACTGCTTAAATTAACTGCCCCTTCCAAGCCTTATGGCACATTAGAGATCAAAACCCAAAGACAGGAAAACAAAAGAGCAAACTATTTTTTCTCTTGCAGTTTTTGAAGAGCATATTTTTTTTTTAAAAAAAGGTTTTAGTAAAAATCTAATTTTTTTTGTAGAAGTTTTTTTTCCAGAAAGAGACATTTTGACTAAGTGCTTTCTGTCCAAGAATTCCAACCTGCTGTAGTGAACAATAAGAGCACATTATCCAAGTCTTTGGGGCTGAATTACAATGCACAAACCATTGTAATAAAATGTACAGGCAGTCCCTGAGTTACGCGGATCCGACTTATGTCGGATCCCCAGTTACGAACGGGGTTTGCTGCCCGTCTCCCTGGTCTGCTGGAGACCAGCAGACCAGGGAGACGGGGAGCAAAGCCTCTGAGGACGCTGGCAGCGGGACAGCCGTGGCGCGTCTGGGCTGTCCGCTGCCCGCGTGCTCCGCGGCTTTGCTCCCCGTCTCCCTTTGCTCCCCGTCTCCCTGCTGGTCTCCAGCAGACCAGGGAGATGCGGAGCAAAGCCTCGGAGGACCCGGGTGGCGGGACCGTGGTGCATCTTGGTCCGCCGCCCGCTGCCCGCGTCTCCCTGGTCTGCTGGGGAGGGGGGGAAGGCGCAGCTAGTACGCCCACATCCCCCCCCCAACAGACCAGGCTTTTCTCCGGACACCTGTGGTAGAGCAGCTGGGGCGCTGCCGGTTGGTCCCACAGCGCCGCTCTGGGTGCTACTGGACCAACCCGGCAGCATCCCAGCTGCTCTGCCCCAGGCGTCCCCGGTCCGCAGCAGCCAGTCGT